CACATGGGGCGGGGGACAAGGCGCAGCGGCGAGGGGGGGGCAGGGGGGGCGGAGTGGGGGCAGGAGGGGGTGGGGGGGGGGGGGGGGGGGGGGGTGCAGAGCTGTTCAGTGATTTATAGACATACTATTTATAGACATACGTATTTTGAAATGGATAAGAAAGTGAACCGGTAGCCAGTGCAGGGAGGACAAAACTGGTGTAATGTGCTCTCATTTGCTTGTACTGGTTAAAAATTGGGCTGCCGCATTTACGGCAGCAACACAACTCAAGAAATTGGGACAGAGCCCTGTTGCCACCGTGATGCCCCCCCCCCCCCCCCATTCTTTTAACAACAGTTTGAACACATCTGGGAACTGATTAGACCAGCTGTTGGAGCTTTTGGAGGGGAACGTTGTGCCATTTGTGATGCATAAATGCTATCCTGGCAGAAATATTATATTACTGATGGAAGTCCCAGATTACCCTCTGGTACTAATTGCACTTATAAATCACCATTCATGTAAATAACTGTCTAATGCCAAAGTGATGGTGATGTAAACGGTTATAAATTAGTTTTTACCGAAACATCGTTCTTTTTGGTCCTGCAGTAAGATCATCAGCCTGGTCAAAAACAAGACCTGGTTCTCTAAAATGAGGCCGTTCAAAAGCCTTCTACAACAGCTCAGATATCAATTATTCATCATCTTTCCACAGAATCACACTTCAAAAGATATGAAATCATTCTATATTGTTTTCATACTTGTGTCGGAAAAAAATAATTTAACTCAACTCCTCACAAGTTTTCAAATCAGTTTTAATCACAGATGAAAACCAGGAGTTTTCCTGACCCCTTGGTGTTTTACTGAAAAATTTAGCTACAAGGTTTTATTTCAAAGTAACTTTCACTGACTACAGTTAAGTTTTGCAGTAACCCAAATGACCACTCTTTGAAGGTTAATGTGAGCAGCGCAGAAGTTATTTCATGCTTCAGAACATCTGAATCACCTTCAGTTCACATTCAAGGTACAACAAAATGAAAGAAACAAAAAGACTATGGAATGAAGGAGTAAACCAGAAAGGTGTGTTTAAAGGGGAACAAGGCAAAGGTCTGTGATGAACGGAGGTGGGAATTCCAGAAAGCTGGAAAAGGAAGAGGAAGGAAAAAAAAAAGCATAAAGAACAACAAAGGAGACTATTGTTGGGTGAAAACAGATCTTGATGTGATCCAGCTCAAACCCACCTGACAAAAAGAGCTGTGAATGAAGCAGACAGGGGTGACTTTTAGGAAAATCTTTATATTTTATTATAAAACTAATCTGTTGTGTCAGTCTGCTGGAGCATGAACAGACCAGAGCTAGAGGCTACCAGCGTTTACGTAATAAAACAGAATAAACGGAGAATAAATGGAGGAAACAAGCTGAAAAGCACATGTTGCCAGAAAAAGATACGAGTCTGCAGCAGAACACTGCGGTGCTCACAACTCTGACTGGAAGAAGTCAAATGTTTTCTGTACCCTCTGGCAGGTTATCAGTCACTTACATTTCCTTACTCACACTTAGCTCTGAGTGCATTGTTCAAACAAAAAAATCTAAATCAGTTGTTCTCCAACTGGGGTCCTTGGACCCCCAGGGGTCTGCGAACTGGTGATTGGAGGTCCCCCACACCCAAAAAAAATTATTTACAAGCACATAGATGTTTAACAACCCGTTAAAATACACCAAAATGCAGGAAATCACATCTACTTTATTC